ACACACACACACACACACACACACATTTGTTCTTGAACCCCATGGGGACCTTCCATTGACTTCCATTCATGCTTTTTAGACTTTATAGCTTAACCTTGACCATTTACCCTAAAATTAACCTGACAGGTACCTACCTGACCCTTAAACTAACCTAAACCTTAGTCCTAAACCTAACCCCCTACCCGTAATTTACATTTGGGCTCGTGGGGACCTGGCATTGGTCCCCACAAAGCTGCTTTTTTGGGAAAATTTTCCCCACGTTATAGGACCGCCCCCCCCACACACACGTTTATGCCTGATATGAGACCCATGATCGTAAAAGCCCTGTACTTGCAACCAATGTTCACAAAAGCCCCTTCTCCACTTTAAAGTCAGTATTAAGCTTGACCTGCCTGGAACCACTGCTGAGGTAGATCCAAAAGAGCGTTGGAACCAAAAATTGAGACAGATTTGGTTGATCCTAACTTGATGAAAGAAAGCGCTCAAAATGCTGTAACAAATTGGCCCTCTATAGAAACTCCCCATCATGCTTCAGTTATGCAGTACACAAGGTTGACAGGATGCTGGAAACAACATGAGCCAAAGATGACATGCATAACGGGCTTGGACCCCGGTCATAACTGCTTCRCAGTTCTAGTTGATGTTTGTTTCTGTTGGATCTCACAGGTTCATTCTGGTGCTGATGAGCACACAGTCAACTATAAAAATGTTGGACAGAGTCCTGCTGCTCCCACACTCAGCTGAACTTCATCACATCACACTGTGGTAAAAAAGTGCTCGTTATTTTAAAAAGTTTATTTATTCAGATTTATTCTGTTATAATTAAATAACCTTTTATAAACCYCTCCTTTCTTTCTCTCCAGCAGAATCACCTCACATCTCAGAAGAAGAGGATCAATTCTTCAGTTGTTTCTTTTCTTCTTTTTTAAGTCAAAGTTTCATTTTGTTTAATATAATCTTAAAACATTATTTTGTAAAAATAGATCTTAAGGACAAAAAGATCAACAGTGATTAGTGGAAAATTCAATCAAACCTATGAGAGATCAGAAAGCATCACACATGAAAAGGTGAAACTAAACAAGTTCCTTTTCAAAATAAAACAGGAAACCCYCACAGAGACAAGTTATCAGGGAGAATTTAATTTATTTTCAGATGAGACTTTTATTTGTTTATATGTTGAAAATATAGGATCTGCCTCATGAGACATTGTAGGATCGGTTGTCTTGTGTCGTACTCTGTCCCCCTCTGGTGTTCCTCCTGTGTCTCACACTCATCTCAGTCTTCAGTCTTTCAGTTCCTTGCAGATTATTCTCTCTCACCTGTCTGCACTCTGTAATCACTCAGCTGTTTCCTCTTTTCACTCAACCCAGTCTCTACTTAACCAGTTCTTCTCTTCAACTTCCTGGCCAAATAAACATAGTACAGGTTTTTGTAGTTATTGTGGAGAGTCAGAAAGTGCAGCATATTTTTCTAGAATGTAATAAATATAGTCGGGAAAGAGAGGTGTTAATCAGAGAGTTAAATAGAAATAAATATAATTTAGATATTAAAAAATTGGCTGCAAAGATCATCTGAGGATGTAGCATTTAACAGCATTTTTAGTTTTTTTAGGAAGTCAGGTATTATGGGAAGAATATAGTGTTAGGACATCTAATCTATACTCCAGTCTGGAAGGTGGTGGTATTGCAACTATAAGTTGTTTGCCAACCGCCATAAAACAAAAAGAAGAAGAAGAAGAAGACGAAAAACTTCCTGGCCAGAAGGAGGACTGGAGCTTCTCAGGGACTATTAACAGGCGGGCTTTTTTGAGCGAAAGAACTAGGATTGTGGAACAAAACTTGGGGAGTGTGGAAAAGGCAGTTTTTGGCATAAACTGGTATGTGAATGGTTGGGATGGAAATGAGATAAGTAATGAAGAAGAAGGGGAATATGAAGGGTGGATGCCAGTAGGAAGAGTGAGAGGAAGAGGACGAGAAAGAATCAAAGTAGACGAAGGGAAGGGAATCAGCGATAGCCAAGGTATTAAACGGGATTTAGAAGGAAGCAGTTCAGAGGAAGAGAKGGTAGTTAGGAGAAAAGTTGCGTGTGAGGAATTTAAAACAATTCTGAAACTTAAGAGTGAGGAAGGTCAGGAGAAAATTAGCCCAATTGGGGTGTCAAGAGAAATTAAAAAGAAAATAGGAGATGTTGAAATGGTCAAGATTTTGAGAGACGGAAGTCTTTTGATAGAATGTAAGGATATGGAGCAAAAGAATAAGGCCTTCAATGTGGACAATATTTGTAAAAGAACTGTGCTGGAGAAAAAAATGTTGAGAGGAAATAAAAAAAATTAGAGGAGTGATCTATGGGATCCCTCTAGATGAGGATCTGGAAAAACTTAAGAGAAATATTGTTGGAGCAAAGGTGACTAATGTGAAAAGGCTGTCAAAAACTGTGGATGGTGAGAGAGTGGGGAGTCTCAATCCTAGTGGAGTTTGAAGAAAAAGAGTTGCCAATCAATATAAAAGTAGGATATATAAGTTTCCAAGTCAGACCTTATGTACCTCCACCACTTCGGTGTTTTAAATGCCAAAGGTATGGACACATTGCGGCAGTTTGTAAAGGACAGCAGAGATGTCCAAAATGTGGGGAAGATCATAAATTTGAAGAATGTAAGGAAGACGTACAAGAGAAATGTTGTAACTGTGGGGGAAGTCACAGGGTTATGTATGGAGGACACGAGGTAAGGAAGAGGGCTAAAGAAGTTGTGCAGATTAAAACATCTAAAAATATAAGCTACGCAGAGGCAGTTAAAAATGTGAAGGAGCAGGAAAAAAGAGGGATCGAGCAAATGGGGAGTCAAACAGCACAGGAATCTAAAATAATACCAGAAGATAAGGTCACTTACTCAGTGGAAAATCTAGTTTTATTCATAGCTTATGTTATCAACTGTACAGATCAAGCTAAGCACAAAACCAAGAAGATTAAAATAATAGTGAGAGGAGCTGAAAAATTCTTGGGGTTTAAGGAAGGCACATGGGAAGAAATTAATAAAAAGCTAGAGGTGGATAAGAAGTCAGGACCAACAAGTGAAAGTAGTTTATGTTAATACTGCAATGGAACGCTAGGAGTTTGATAGCTAATGGACAGGAATTTAAAGGTTATATTGACGAGCTTGAAGTCCAACCGGATATAATATGTGTGCAGGAAACTTGGTTAAAATTAACATTAGATTTTGTGATTAGAGGAAATGTTAGTATAAGGAGAAACCGAGAAGAGGGAGGGGGAGGTGGATGTGGAATATTTATAAAACAAGGGATTCAATATCAGGTTTTAGGGAAAGGGAAAGAACTAGAATTCATAGTAATTGAGGTATGGGAAAAGGGAGATACAATTAAAATAATAAATTTTTATAATCCATGTAAATCATTATCGTCTGAAATAATGGTGGAAATATTGGATTATTTGGAGGGGAGAGTAATTGGGTGTGGGGATTTCAATGTAAAAAGTACACTGTGGGGTAATAGTAATGATAAAAATGGGCAGGTTATAGAAGAAGTGATGGAAAAGAAAAATTTAGTTTGTATTAATGAGAGAAGGGGTACAAGAATCAATATAAGAACGGGGATGGAATCATCTATTGATCTATCAATAGTATCAAATGATATAGCTGGTATTTGTGAGTGGTCAGTTGATAAAGAAACTACAGTAGGAAGTGATCATTACTCCATAACTATAAGGGTAGGAATAATCAGAAATGAGTATAAAAAGAGTGGGGAGAGATTGAACTTTAACAAGGCAGATTGGAGTAAGTTTAGATATTTGAGTGAAATGTATTTAGAAAAGGTAGATTTTAATATGCATATAAATGAAGTAAATGCAAATATTTCAAAAATAATAACTGAAGCAGCAGAAAATTCTATTAAAAAGTCAGGGAGTAATAATGATAAGAAAAAGGTGCTGTGGTGGACAGGTGAGTGTAAGGAAGCAATGAATTTAAGAAATAAAGCCTTGAACGTATTAAAACATTATCCAATATATATAAACTTAACTGATTATAAAAGGAAGCAAGCAGTAGTAAGGAGGATTATAAAGAAAGCTAAGAGAGACTATTGGAGAAATTTTTGTAGTACAATAGGAAGAGATACAAAAATTGAGAAGATATGGAAAGTAATTTAAAAAATGAATGGAATTAAAAGAGAGTTTGATTATCCTGTATTAAAAGTAGAGAATGTGGATATAATTAGAGATGAGGATAAAGCTGAGGTTTTGGCAAAATTATTTAGTAAGATACATAGCACAAATAACATTAGCGAAGAGGGAAGAAAAGGGAGAGAAAATACTGTTCTTAAGTATAAAAATTTAATACAGAGTGATGAAGAAATAAATCATTTTTTGAATGTTGATTTTACCAAAGTGGAATTAAATTGTGTGCTTAGAAAGACCAAAAATGCAGCGCCAGGTAAAGACAAAATTTGGTATAGAAATATAAGTCAACTAAGTGATAAATCAAAAGTTATAATATTACAATTATTCAATAAAATATGGGAAAATATGCCAGGGTTATGGAAGGAATCTATTATTGTACCGATAGCTAAGCCAGGAAAAGATCATTCAAAACCAGAAAGTTACAGGCCAATAGCATTAACTTCAAACTTATGCAAAATAATGGAAAAAATGATTAATAGTAGGCTAGTGTATTATCTAAATAAAAAGGGATATATTTCTAATTATCAAAGTGGTTTTCGTAAAGGGAGGAGTACTAATGGCGCAACGTTATGTCTGGAGCATGAAATTAGAAGAGCTCAAGTAAACAAAGAAAGTGTAGTGGCTGTATTTTTCGATATTGAAAAAGCATATGACATGATGTGGGTAGAGGGTTTATTAATTAAGTTACACAAATTGGGGATTGAAGGAAAAATATATGAGTGGATTAAAGACTTTTTAACAAACAGGAAATTACAGGTAAGAATTGAAGGAGTAATTTCAGATAAATGTGTAGTGGAAAATGGAACACCACAGGGGAGTATTATAAGCCCATTATTGTTCTCTGTTATGATAAATGACATATTCAAAAATATTGGAAAGGATATGGGATGTTCACTCTTTGCAGATGATGGAGCTGTTTGGAAAAGAGGGAAAATGTTGAGTTTATAGTAAAGAAGTTACAAAATGTCATTATTGATACTGTATAGAAGTGTGGGCTCTGAAATGGGGATTTAAATTCTCAGTGGATAAAACAAAAGTATTTGTATTTTCACGGAGAAAACAAAGTAATAGATTTAAAATTATATAATCAAAAAATAAAGCAGGTAAAGAGTTAAAAAAATTTGGGTTTGTGGTTTGATGAAAAATTAAAATGGAATATTCACATTCAGATGATTGTTGATAAATGTAAGAGAAAATTGAATATATTGAGATGTTTGGTTGGTAGTGATTGGGGGGCAGACAGACAATGGTTAAAACAGTTTTATACAGGAATGATAAGATCTGACTTTGATTTTGGTTGTTTAGTTTACAGTTCAGCAGCTAAAACTCATCTAGATAAATTAGACAATATTCARCATCAAGCATTAAGATTATGTACTGGAGCATTCAAAACAACACCTGCAGCTGCATTGAAAATAGAAACGGGAGAAATGCCTTTAGATCTAAGGAGAACYAAACTAGGAATTAATTATTGGTTAAATTTGATGGGTAATAAACGTGATCATCCAACTTGGGAAATTTTAGTCATGTTGGGAAAAGGAAAAGAAAGAGATGAGGAGTTATGGATGGAAAATTGAAAAGGAAGTAAAAGGAATTTAAAATGGATGTTTTAGAAATTAGTCAAACAGATCCATCATCAATTATACMACCCTGGATTCTGCCAGAAACAATAGTAGATATATCATTAATGGTAAAGAAACAAGACAAATCAAATGTTGTAGATAGTTATTCAGTGCAATCACATTTAAATCAGTATTATCGACATGTCCAAATTTACACAGATGCATCAAAAATAGCAGGAAAAATAGGAATAGCATTTGCAATCCCAGAATTCAATTTGAAAATAGGGAAGCCAATTACGGATGGGTTATCAATTTATACAGGAGAAATGTTAGCGATACTATTGGCATTACAATGGATAGAGGATGTAAAACTACTGCAAACAATAATTTGCTCCAATTTCAAGCTTGGCTTTGATAAGTATAAAACATAACAGTACGGATTGTAGGATGGACATCTTATTAGAATTATTATATACTCTATTTAGAATACAAAATATGGGGTTAATAGTTGTTTTTGTATGGGTTCCAGCACATATAGGGGTCGTAGGTAATGAGCGGGCTGATAAATCGGCAAAGAAGGCAATAAATAATCCTATTAGTTTTACAGTTAAGACAAGTAAATCTGAAGGGAAAAGTAAAGTTAATGAGGAGCTGATGAAAATATGGCAGAGAAGGTGGGATGAAGGTTTAACAGGAAGATGGTTTTATAAAATTCAGAAGTTTGTAAGAAGGAAAATAAAGGGGAGAAGAAACAGGAAGGAGGAAAGAATAATAACAAGGTTAAGGTTCGTTCATACAGGGCTTAATTATTCACTTTTTAAAAAACAGACGCATATGACTGGAAAGTGTGATTATTGTGAGAAGTTGGAAACAATAGAGCATGTTATTTTAGAGTGTAATAAATATGAAGATGAGAGAAGATACATGTTGGGAGAGTGTGAAGGTATTAAAGAAAGGTTTAATTTATCAGATTTTTTGAGGAGGGATTTGGGGAGTAGACATATTCAAATAATTATTAGATTTCTTAAAAAAACAAAGGTATTTCTTAGAATCTGAGTAGAGTAAGATGGGTGTTAATGTGCAAAGAATAATGAAGAGATATTTATAAGCTATATAAAAGTAAAGTTATATAAGTAGGTGTGAGTGTGAGAATGTGTGTTTAATCAGAAATATTATAGGGATTAGGTATGAAGTACATAGATCATCACGAACCACACTCCATACCAGTAAGTGGCGGTAATGCTACTGAAAGTTTGTTGCCAACCGCCAATAAAAACCAAGAAGAAGAAGAAGAAGGTGTGAGCGGTGGTTTGAATCCCTGCTCCCTGTCGCAGCTGCAGCCACTCCTCTCATCAGCCTTCACCACCTGAGCTTTGTCGGGTCTGGTGCCGGGACCAGTCCTTGCTTTGATAATAACTTCTACAGATAAAYGGATTAACAGTTATTGACTRAATCACAAGMATAATGACACTTTTATTATAAAGTGAATAAAACGGACCTGACTGTGAGTCAGATCTGTGAAAACATGGAAAATTACAACACATCCTGTTTCCTCAGATCCTTTAGAAGGAAACAGAAACAAGACATTTTGTGTAAAAGTAAAGAATTCATCAGGTCAGTAACAGTTTTTACTTTGAACCAAACTTTCTTTTCCTGAAATGCAGTTTTCAACTTGTTTAAAATGAAATATAAATATAAACATGATGTAAAGCTGATAACAGGAAGAACCCTGGGTGTTTTCGTAAAGTTGTTTTTTTTATTACATCATCCAGAAAGAAGAAACAGCTTTTTGAGCAGAGAGAAAAGCGTCACATAGTTCAGTATAATTAGATAAAATGATTGTTCTGGAGTTTACTCTGATTCTTCTGCTTCAGCTTGAAGGTAAAAAAAAAAATCTGTTTTTGTTTGTATCAAATAATGAAGCTTATATGAAGACAAGTTTAAGTTTGAACAGATGATCTAATTCAGAAACTGTTTTGTTTTGTTAAATAAAACACTTGAGTTCACCGAGCTCCTGATGCCTGTCTGTATTTTGGGTCAGACCTCACTGCGACCTCACGGTTTCCTGTTCAAAAGTTCTGTTTTGTGGTTTTCCTCAGAGTGAAGCAAGAACTTCATGTTTGTTCCTGCAGCTTCAGAAAAATTCCCAATTTTCAGAACTGACAGGTTTTTTGGGCCTTTAAACAAAATCCAAATTTTTTTTTTTTGCCACATCACTTTGTTTATGATATTTTTTTTTGTATCAAATCTGATTCACTGGGCTGTTTTGGCTATATTTTGCTCACAACAAAGTTAAATTAAGAAACAAAAGACAGTTTTGCCCATAACTTTTAACAAGTTTAGAACACTCTAAATTTACTTCTTTGTTTTTTTTTTCTTACAATAAACTTTTTACAGCCATTTATTTCACTTCATGGTAGGCACAAACACAGTTTCTGTCCTTGTTCAGGCACAGATGTACCTTACACTTTATAAAAAATTGCCATCTATTATCATATTGATGGCATTTTCTTACTTTCTTTTTTTCTCTCTTCTTCCTCAATTCTCTTTGACATCTAACACGTAAATATTTAGTCAGTACAGAGTAGAGATTATAATTTCAAAGGAAACCACTTTGAAAATAGCCAAAATGTGTTTTCAAATGGCATTTCAGTAATTAATCAATCATCCAAAATAGTGTGTGTTGTATTGTGGCAAGAATACTGTTGATTAAATTACTAAAATTACTAAAATGTCACATGACAATTCAGGACTGGAGCAACTTATATACCTGCAGTATCAAGTTTGATACACATTTTTTTAAACATGGTTTAACTGTAGTATTGAAAAATATTTTTTAAGTAATTATGCATTGTTTCAACACAAAGTATTTGTTAAAAAATTACAAAAAATATTGATGTTATTCTTACCATAAYTTCTCCAAAATTAGCAAAAGTTTTCCTGAAAAAAAAAAATGTGTGGATGACCTCATGGCAGCAGACATATTGAAAAGGCAAAAAAAAAGTTCTACTTCCTGCAGTACATTGGTAATCCACTAGAGGGCAGAATACAGGTCTCACATGATATACAACAGGTTTTTGAGGAAAATATTGATCACATTGATAAAATATAGGTCATAGAATCCTGCGTAGCAAATATGATACAAATGGCGATATAGGGTTTGAAATGTTTAAAAATGTTTCTCCTGCTGCAGGCCTCGGTGCAGGAGGACCGTCTCTCTACCACAGAGTTGGAGATGATGTTTTTCTGCCTTGTAGCGATATTTCCCATACTTATTTCCGCCGCAGAAGTGACTGGTTTTACACCAGAGACCCAGACACAGACTCACAGATGGAGGTTCAGAGAGGGATGGTTGTTCAGAGTTCACCCCGAGCTGCCAGGCTGAGAGTGGACCGGTTCAGTTCTCTGCTCATCTACAACATCACAGCTGAGGAYGCTGGACGTTACAGCTGTGTCCCCTGGGACAAACACCGAGATCACCTCGACTCTGTGTTTCTGAATATTTTAACCAGTAAGTGACTTGATTAGCAGGGTTTGATTTGTCGCTGTCTTCTGACTTTATMAATTAATTTCTCTGAAACCTGAAAGTTTTTAAATTTTCCCCTGACAACTGAACGAAAACCGATCCTTTAAAGTACCTGTGACATGAGGCAAAACATCAAAAAAGACTTAATATTTGAGAAATTTGACATAAACATGATTTTACCCATTTTCTCTTATAACTGATGTTTTCTTTTAAACTTGGCTCAGGAAGTGAAACAGGAAGTGACATCAAAAGAGAACTCTTTCAGAAAAGGTGTTGTTTATTAAAACAATATTATCTGAACTCTGACTTCTTCATGTCTCTGAGACTAAAAATCTACACAAACATCAGATTCTTCTCTACAGTTTGTGTTGGTGGTTGTTGTAGCAGTGATCTGTTTACATGCAGACATTCCCCTTTGACATCACTTCCTGTTTCTTCTCATGTCAATATTTCAACAACTGTTCATCTCAGCAGTGTTTTGTTGCAAGTTTTTTTTATCAATGTTAACTTTCTAAAAAGGCCTACATATTTATTTATACAAATGTTAATGTTGCTAGTACTTTAAAGAATGAGAGAATCAAATATAGGTAGGTAGGTAGGTAGGTAGGTAGGTAGGTAGGTAGGTAGGTAGGTGGGTAGATATGTAGGTTGGTAGATATGTAGGTTGGTAGATATGTAGGTAGATAGGTATGTAGGTTGGTAGATATGTAGGCAGGTAGGTAGGTTGGTAGATATGTAGGTAGGTAGGTAGGTAGGTAGATAGGTAGGTAGGTAGGTAGATATGTAGGTAGGTAGGTAGGTAGGTAGATATGTAGGTAGGTTGGTAGAAATGCAGGTAGGTAGGTACAGTAGGTAGGTACGTAGGTACAGTAGGTAGGTATGTAGGTAGGTAGATATGTAGGTAGGCAGGTAGGTAGATATATAGGTAGGTAGGTAGATATTTAGGTAGGTTGGTAGATATATATGTAGGTAGGTAGATAGGTATGTAGGTAGATATATAGGTATGTAGGTCGATAGGTAGGTAGGTAGGTAGGTAGATATGTAGGTAGGTAGATATGTACATAGGTAGGTAGATAAATAGGTAGGTAGGTAGATGTGTAGGTAGGTAGTTAGTTAGGTTGGTAGATATGTACAGTAGGTAGGTAGGTAGTTAGATATGTAGGTAGGTAGGTAGTTAGATATGTAGGTAGGTAGGTAGTTAGATATGTAGGTAGGTAGGTAGTTAGATATGTAGGTAGGTAGGTAGGTAGTTATATATGTAGGTAGGTAGGTAGGTAGGTAGGTAGGTAGGTAGATATACTGTATAGGTAGGTAGGTAGGTAGGTAGGTAGGTAGGTAGGTAGGTAGATATGTAGGTAGGTAGGTAGATATGTACATAGGTAGGTAGATAAATAGGTAGGTAGGTAGATGTGTAGGTAGGTAGGTAGTTAGGTTGGTAGGTAGGTAGTTAGATATGTAGGTAGGTAGGTAGGTAGGTAGGTAGTTAGATATGTAGGTAGGTAGGTAGGTAGGTAGGTAGGTAGGTAGGTAGGTAGGTAGGTAGGTAGGTAGGTAGGTAGGTAGATAGATATACAGTATAGGTAGGTAGGTATGTAGG